AGAAAAGCACTAGATTTATATGGGCTGTGGACTAATACATGCTGATATTTTTCAGATATGAAGCCATGTGGAATAGCAATGCCTGCAAAGGCAATTAAACATGGCATAGCACACACTGACTCCAAGCAGTTGTGCACTTTTTCAGACACCATTGTGCATTGATACATAGTGATCATTTTCAGACATTGGAGCATGTGGTTCAGCACCAACTTGTTAGATGAAAACAATTTGCCTATCAGGTGGGCATGAAAACACCAGAAATCCAGCTTCCCGTTGGGGGGGGGGGATTGTGCATCAAATGCCCTCATAAAAATGGAAATAGTTTTCATAGGAAAACATAGGCAGAAACAGGAAAATTTTGCAGGCTTTTGTAAAGAACTTGATCCATGCCTTTCAAATACAGCTTTAGATGTTTATTGTTTAACAGGAGCAGATACATCCAGCTGTACAATGTGCAAGCCTTAGTGATTCCTAGATGTTACACACCAGCTGCAACAGCAAGTGTCAGTTTTGAGTGAATCATGTTTGGTTTCTCTCTATGGACCTTTGTTATACACAGCAAAAGGAACTTTAATCCCCTGATTCATGATACTTGATTCTTCATCAGCAGTTTACAACTTTGATATAACAGATGTCTAGCAGTAGAAATGAAATATTAGCTGTCACAATGACTATATGCTTGGAGGCTATAACATGAGCTGCCTGCATCATTTTTCTTATTTACCAAATCCCTATAGTTAGGTCAGAACTGACAGATGTGGTGCGGCAGAAGCCCCTCTATGTGGAGTGGGCCAATATTGTATTTAGATTCCAAATGCAGGGGGAATCCTGAGCGCTGAGCAAGCAGCCTGGTTGACATTCACAACTATTACATGGTGCCAAAATGATGGCATACTTGGGAAACATACTCCAACATTAAAGCAAGTAAACTCGAACACTTCTCTGTTGTTTTGTTTAATTAAGAAATGGGGTAAATTAAAGAATATTGAGAGGGGGGAACTAAAAAGAAGAAGCCAGTAACATCAAAACGAATCCTAACATTCCAGCAGGCAAGAGGTTTCAAAGGGGATCTAATAATCACATTGCTGTTTCTTTCAAGTGATAACATACTTATCTCTTTTTTTTTTTTTTAAAGCAATTTATTGGGTTTTACAATAAAAATAAACATAATAAACAATATAACATTTGTCTTAACATAGTTTCACATTTTCTTTGGACTTCCTCACATCCCCCGCTCCCACTTTCATCGTTATAACATTTTGTCAGCAATTTATCATCTTATTTAAATTCTTATATCTCTTCAATGTTTCATAATCTTATAGTTCTCATAAAGAGTTAAACTTTCACAGTCTTACTTGTTTTCTTAAAAACTTCTAAGTTAAGTGGTGCTCAGTTATTTAGTCTAGCATCTTATTTAGCATTCACTCAAATCACAATATTTTTGTAGATAGTTCTTAAATTTCTTCCAATCCTCCTCGATTCTCTCTTCTCCCAGGTCACGGATTCTGCCAGTCATTTCAGCCAGTTCCATGTAGTCTATCAGTTGCATCTGCCATTCTTCCAGTGTGGGTAAATCTTGAGTTTTCCAATGTTTTGCAAGAAGTATCCTTGCTGCTGTTGTTGCATACATAAAAATGTCTGGTCCTTCTTTGCCACCCCTTGGCTGACAATACCCAGAAGGAAAGCCTCTGGTTTCTTGGTAAAGGTATATTTAAATACCTTTTTCAATTCATTATAAATCATTTCCCAGAACGCCTTCACTTTAGGGCAGGTCCACCAGAGGTGGAAGAACGTTCCCTCACACTCTTTACATTTCCAACACTTATTATCAGACAGGTGGTAAATTTTTGCAAGTTTAACTGGGGTCATATACCATCTATAAATCATTTTCATTACATTTTCTTTCAGAGCGTTACATGCAGTAAATTTCAATCCATTACTCCACAACTTTTCCCAGTCCTCAAACATAATATTATACCCAATGTCCTGTGCCCACCTTATCATAGCCGATTTAACCATTTCATCTTGTGTATTCCATTCCAACAGCAAGTTATACATCCTTGAAAGTACCTTAGTCTTTGGTTCTAACAATTCTGTTTCTAATTTCGATTTCTCCACCTGGAACCCTAGTTTCTTATCATTTTTAAAAACTTCTTTAATCTGAGCGTAATGTAACCAATCTCGCACTTTGTCTTTCATTTTCTCCAAACTCTGCAATTTCCAATTGTCTCCATCTTTTCTAATATTTCCCAATATTTTGGCCATTTAGCCTCCATATTGGGTCTTTTCGAGCCTTAGCTTCCAAAGGTGAAAGCCACCTTGGTGTTTTATTTTCCAGCAAGTCTTTATATTTTGTCCAGACATTATACAATGATTTTCTGACAATATGGTTCTTGAAGGCCTTATTTGCTTTAACTTTGTCATACCATAAATATGCATGCCATCCAAAAACATTATTAAACCCTTCCAAGTCCAACACATCAGTGTCTTCAAGAAGTAGCCAGTCTTTTAGCCAGCAGAACGCTGCGGCTTCATAATACAACTTTAAGTCCGGCAGGGCAAAGCCCCTCTTTGTTTTGCATCAGTTAATATCTTAAACTTGATTCTGGGCTTTTGCCCTGCCAGACAAACTTCGAAATATCTCTCTGCCACTTCTGAAAGCACTCCGTTTTGTCCAAAACCTGAAGTGTTTGAAATAAAAACAACATCCTTGGCAATACATTCATCTTAATAGCAGCAATTCGGCCTAACAAAGAAAGTTTCAATTTTGACCAACTGTCTAAGTCTCTCTTAATTTCTGTCCAACATTTTTCATAGTTATCCTTAAATAGACTTAGATTTTTTGCTGTTATGTTTACCCCTAGGTATTTTACTTTTTTAACCACATTAAGTTCCGTCTCATTCTGAAACCGTTCTGACTCTGTATCAGTCAAATTTTTCCCCAAAACCTTAGTTTTCTGTTTATTTAATTTAAATCCCGCCACCCGACCAAAATCATTAATCAATTGTAATACTCTTTTCGTACTGGGCTCTGGCTTCTGCAAGGTCAAAACCAGGTCATCTGCAAAAGCTTTTAGTTTATATTGTTTCGATAACATACTTATCTCATAACTAAGGATGGAACTCGCTGCATCTGGTTGACCAGTTACACTGCTGGACTAGGTCAGCCTGACCCAGCAAAACTCTTCTTGCGTGACTTGGCTAAGATAATACAGTTAGCTTCATGGATGAGCAGGGATTTGATTTGACTCACTTCCCTTGGCTGGAATTAGCATTTTGTCCACTGCAATGTACTGCACCCTTGTTATTTTATTTGTCTTGGATTTTAGGAAATAGTAAGCCATTTCCTATAGGAACTTGTGTTCCCGGTTTTCTTACGTTAAAAAATTTCACTTGCTTAACAGGTGATCAAGTCCAGGAGCTAGGCAGGAATCTGGGCATTGTTTTTTCCTGCCTAGGTAAAATGCCAGCTACAAATGTATATGGAATTTCAACTTTCATATCACAAGTGGTATAATTATGTATAATTATGAAATCAAGATTTCTAGTCAACAGAGTGATTCAAAAGTGCCACAAAATAAAGTGTGTGCTTTAGTGTAAGCTACAGTTGTCAGCAAGTCAGTATGCCAAAGTTCAGAGTCCGAGGGTTGATCCATGCAAGCAAAGTTCAAAATTCAAAGATCAGGAAATGAGGTTCAGGGTCAATCCAAGTAGCGAAGGCCAGCAGTCAAGATACTAGAGTCAAGCCTGAAGCACAGTCCCATGGAGGTCCAGGAACATCCAAATCAAGGCCCATCAACATAGGCAATTGAGCAGACACAGCACCTCAGCTCTGCTGCCCCTTTATACTTTGTCTGCTGATTGCAGCATCTGGGCTTGACGAGGCATATGACCCTCACCTGTTCCAAGCCTACTCCAACTGAGGAATCACACACTTCCTCCCAGAGCTAGCTAGTGGGCCCTTGCCTGCCTCAGCCTTCTGGAGCACCTGCCTGCTGCTCCCTACACCTCAGAGCCTGCTGTGTTAGTGGAGACAGGGCCCACTCTGCTTCCTATGCACTGACTCCCACCTCATCATCATCTTCCCTGTGAGTACTTCCTATACCAACCTCTCTTTCCCCATCCCCAGCTTGCCCTGGTGTGTCCCAGTCCCAGCTACAGCCCTTGCTGGGATCCTCCCCTTCCTCCCCCTGTTGTCCTGCCAGTTCATGATATCTAGTATCCCTTTTTCTTAATAACTCTGGTTTCTGGTGCTGAGGATTACTCAGTTTTAACATAGGTACTGGGGTTATTTATGTACTGGGGTTATGGTTCAGAGAAAGGTGGTTTTTGTTTTGTTTCATTGAAGCGTACAAGGTCCAAAATGTTTGCCTGATTTGTTGGTATTAGAAATAAGCTTGGTTAGATTTTCATTTTTGGCTCTGTACCTTCTAGGGAGGAAAATGGATGTTAAACATTCAAATTGATTCAGCCATATTTGCAATTTGAAAGGAATGTTTGTGATTGTTTTCATTATCATGGCACCCTACTATTTTAAGTGGAAAATGTGTGTGTGTGTGTGTGTGTGTAATTGTAAAAAATCTCTCGTTTTAAATAGTAGCTTTAGCAAAATATTGTTTGTGGTGACTTGCTGCAAGGGTATAAATAAGAACAAAAGAGGAACCCTGCTGGGTCAGATTAAAGGCCCATCTGTTTCAGTGACCTACGCACAGAATGGCCAAGTAGATGCCTTTGGGAAGCCCATAAGCTTGACATGAACAAAACCACCCTCTCCCTAATTCTCCAGAAACTGGTATTCAGAGGCATGCCACCTAAGAAACTAGAAGCAGTACACAGCCGTTGTGGCTGGTAGCTATTAATAGCCTTATTGCTATTATGAATTTGTCTAAACCCCTTTAAAGTGGTCTAAGTTGGTGGCCATTACTACAACTTGTGGCAGAGAATTCCATAGTTTACCTATGTGCTGTGTGAAGGAGTGCTCCGTGCTCCATGATCAGATGGAAGTGGCTGAGGTTGGTTAGAGCCTGGTGCTGATAATCCCATGGTTGCAGGTTTGATCCCTGCATGGAACAGTTGTGTATGGCTGCATTGCAGGGGGCTGGTCTAGATGACCCCCCTTTCCAACTGTACAATTCTATGTGTCTCACTTTTGCATAATTCTAAAGCTATGCAACTCAACAATACTGTAACTTTTCTCATGGCTTAAGTAATAATTTCTTTGTTGATATGTGCATCTCTTAAGGCCTTGTGATTTGTATGGTAAGCCTTGCAATCTAGGCTCTAAGAATACAATTATATTGCAGCATGTTTATAAATTCACTCCTCTTCTGTCTTGTTCAAAATGTTGCATTTTTGGTCGTCTGTTACATGAAGTGATCATTTTGGAGCTTCTAGTCTCTTCAAGGCCACTTCACATTTCTGGTATGTGAAGCTGATAAGCGAGCCCCTGCTTATTAGCAAAAAGACAGGTTGAGGTGCATGAAAAATCTCTGCTTAGCTAGTTATATACCTTTATTCAGGACAATGGCACAGATACGTTGTGGTTGTGACTGAAAATGTTTATGCAGGCTCAGCAGGCTGAGGTCAGTTGTGTATCAGAAACCTGTTCTGTGACAAAAGGTGAGAGCATGTCAGTACAGTATAGGGGTATTCTGTACTTCACCTTCCAGCTAACCTGAAAGAACTTGGCAGATCTCCTGCGTTCCTAATTGGCACAACCTCTCCTTGCTGTCCTGCTAGCTGCTGATAGTGGACTGTAAGCTATTGTTCAGCAGAAACTGACTCAAAGCAGAAATATGAGTGCTGTGAAAGCAATGTATGAGAGCAATGTATGCTCAGAAATGCCTGCCTGCTATGTTGACCCCAGTGGGTCTCAGGTCATGACATTCACCTGGGTCCCAGGTAATGACACTCAGGTATCAGTAAAACTTGATCATTGTCATATTTGCTTTTTGAGAACAAGTTAAGAAATAAAAACGAGTTAATTAAGAAAACATACATGAAAACAATCTTCCCAAATCGGGCATGTTCCATGACATTAATTGTATTTTGGCAACAGTTAAAGAAGTATTTTTGTCAAGCATTTGTTGATTTTAATAACAAGTTGTGTGTTGTTGTCTTTTACTGTGGTTTGTTGTGTTGATGTTTAGAGATACTGTTGTTTTAAAATACGCAGTTTATATTTTGAAAGCTGACCTGGAATTTGATAACGTAGGGCAATATATTAAATACCTAAAATAAGCTCTAGTCATCATAAACTCTAAATACAGATTACAGTCAAGACATCTGTCAAATGCAATTATAGCGCCATTCAAGAGCTTGGTTTCACAACATTCAGCAGCCCAGAGAAGGCACGCTGTCATCCAGTGATGTTTAGCAGAAATTTTACGCTACCACTTCTCACTTCCTCCAATTAATAGAATAACCAGAGAATACATGACTTGAGGTTGTTTTCCAGCTATTATGTAACTGCTGAATAAGTGAATGGCTCCAGGAATTAGATCAAAATAGGGGAAAATGTGAAGGGCTTGTAAATCCTCTTCTTACCACTTCTTGGGAAATGAATGCAATATTGATGGAAAGGGGTTGTTTTAGTTCATTTCATGCAGCAGACTTCCTTCAGGAACTGTTTTTGTGATTGTTTTAAAGAGGTTTTCTTGAGTATGCTTTATATTTCTGTGTATTTTGGTAAGCTATCTTGAGGACCTGTTGACCAAAAGGCAGACTAAGATAAAAATGGTAATAGCAACAATAATAAGCAGACAGTGCCACACCCCACTGAAAGGTTCTCATTACGAGAGGCAATCATCATTTGCCACCTGCAAACAGATTCATCGCCAGGCAGCAGACCTCCTAATAACAGTTCTCAATCTTTGTTAATAACTCAACTGCTACTCTCCTAGCTGTCCCGTATTCCTAGACCGATTGTAAGTACAGTAGCTGGAAGAATTAAATTATCAACATGGAATCAACTATCTTTGATTATGATTTGTTGTCACCCTGCTTAACTTAATTGTTCACCCGGAATTTAATCCTGCCCACAAGTACCACTGACAGGATTGCAGCCTTCATTCTAAAACTCCTAATTAGTTGTATGTGTTTTCTGATAGCATCCTGGTCTACCAGCCTATCTAGATGACTAGCCCCATTCAGTTGTCATAAATTATTGTGATTATTAGTCTGCTCTAGTTAACTAATGGATCAATAAATTAAGCCATTGGCCTTTTAAGACAATAAACGTTTGTTATTAAATGTTGTAGAGTAACCAAAGGAGATGAATATTACCATAATGCCCCTGGTTTTAAGTCTCTGTGGAACATTTGGCTAACCAACCACTGCCAGGTCACTGTAGTTTCCTAAGGAGCCTGAGACCTTAGTATGAACATCCAGCATCCTTAAAGATACATGTCCCATGTGTTACTAAGCACTGGGATGTCATTTCTGACATCTCCCCTAAGTGCTCAGGTACCTCGGGAAAAGATTCAGCATCCCCAATACCAGGAGGGAGGTTAGATTATGAGTTTGACTAGAATTTTGTGACAATTTTGTGCTTGTCTCCTTTAACCATCAGGAGTGCCACCTCTGAATTGTTGTATACTGCTGTGGTTTAACACCTATTCATTTGTTCAATGTGTCAGTATTCTACTAAATGCAAACTGAATCAGCTAGAAATCTAATTACCAAAATTTTAATGTAAACCTTCACATGACAGTTTTAAATGGTAACAAACTTTTTATTTTTATAATCCTGAGAGGATCTAGCAGGCATTTGACTTTGCTTCTGAGAAGGGGTTATTTGAATAATACAAAAACTAATTGCTTGATTGAGGAAAACAAATAATCTACAGTGGTAAAAAACACACACCATAAATTGTTAGGGCTTTGCTGGGTATTTCACAAAAATGACCCATTTTAGATTTCCTGCACATATACAAACTTATAATGGAACTGCCAAATAAGTGCACTTGCACTCTGTGCAAGTGAAAACTATGTTCCCCATTTTGCTCATTGGATAGTGCAGTAAACTTTTCCACTGAACTTAATGAGAGATCCAAGTAACTGTTATTGGCAACACTGCCTAATTGTTAAGATTCATGTGATCCTTCAGCTTCTGCTATTAGTGAAAATACCCCATTGTGAGCCCTATTATTCTTGGCTAACTGCTACCTAAGGGAATTGCAGCTGTGTTCCAGAAAATGCAAGATGTATCTGCAGAGGGCTTCCGTGGGGAGATATGCCGGATAGCAAAGCTGAAAAATTGAGTCATTAAGACAGCAGAAGACCTTAGGGCTATAGCAAGAAAAACCCAGAAAGGGGCAGCATGCTTTTAACATTATACCTTGCCTCACCTACTGCCCTGCCATTTCATCACCAAGTGCTAGCAAGAACAACAACCCATGAATGCCACATATAAGCAGATTATCTCTCAGGGTTTTGACTGGTAAATCTCAGTTGTGTTTATGCAATATATAAGGCACCTTCCCATCCTGGCTTGGGTATAGCAATGAGCGTTATTATTATTATTATTATGGCACTGTGGTCTAAACCGCTGAGCCTCTTCGGCTTGCTGATCAGAAGGTTGGCGGTTCAAATCTGCCGGGGTGAGTTCCCGTTGCTGTGTCCCAGCTCCTGCCAACCTAGCAGCTCGAAAGCATGCCAGTGCAAGTAGATACATAGGTACCACTGCAGTGAGAAGGTAAACAGTGTTTCCTTGCACTCTGGTACTCGTCACGGTGTCCCATTGTGCCAGACGTGGTTTAGTCATGCTAGCCACATGACCCGGAAAGAAGTCTGTGTGCAAACACTGGCTCCCTTGGTCTAAAAGCGAGATGAGCCCCGCACCCCATAGTCACCTTTGACTGGACTTAACCATCCAGCGGTCCTTTACCTTTACCTTTTTTATATACTGCTACTACTACTATATTTAGGACCAACAATTAACTTATTCCAAGAGGAGGAGGATTTAATAATGCTTGGCCTTTCTTAACCTTAGCAATTCAACTTCTCTAGTGTGAATGAAATTCAATGTCAATCACAGTAGTGCCATTCACATTAGTGGAATGGAAGTAAGTAATGTGTCTCCTGTATTACTGTCTATACTGCATTGCTCTACATGGGTAAATTGCCTGGAGTGTGATTTGTAAGAAATGGGATAGAGAGGAATACAGAAAACACCATAATGCTATTATAGAAGTCAATGGTTCATCCTCACCTGAAATACAGCTTGCCATACTGCTGACCTCATCTCAGAACGGATATTGCATGACTGAATGTAGTTCAGAAAGGGCAGCTAGAACGATTAAGAGCATGGAGTCCAAAAAGAGTGAAGGTGTCTCTTTTGGAAAGGAGATGGGGAAGGGTGCTGCTCTTTCAGAAATAAATAATTTAAACATAAGAATTGGATATAATTTCAGGATGGTATTCTATAAACTTTTACCTGGGAGGAAAGCATCACTGAATCCAATAAGACTTAATTCTGAGTAGACATGTATAGGATTCTGTTGCTACTCTGGATAATTTTACAATAGAATTATTTGCCTCAAGGTATTAGGTATTAACATTGTAAAAAAACAACAAGTAGTTTGCATATATTTACAAGTCTTAGAGTTATTGTAATGTTATGCTAACACTTAATAGAATACATTGAAATGTATGTTTGCCTCTAAAAAACAGGGAAAGGAAAACGGGGAAAACAAAGAAAATTCTGGATTCTTTCAGGGCATAATTAGCTACGGCGTCTATGAAATGTTATGCTATTTTATCGGATAACTGAGGCCTTCCTATTGGTTCCCCCCCCCCATGAAGAATTTACAATTTCTCCCTGAGGTTAATAAAAAAAAACCTCGCTAATAAATAAATGTATTATTTACATTCTACAAATAATTGCCATGCAGTTAGTCCTGTCAGAAATTAAAATGAGGCCTCTTACTATTTCTAAACCTCCCCCTTTAAAAACAATAATGTGATTACTTCCAAAGCTGGCCTGATATATTTTGGCAGCTGAGTTTAACCACAAAATGGTGCTTCCCCGCCAGAGATGAGGGGGAGTGAAGATCTACATTGGGAACAAGGGG